TAATCAAAGGGTTTTGTATACATATATATAATTTTTCTTTTGGTTGGGGGTTGGATGGAGATCATACTGTTTTCTTCAAAAATTAAGTTATATGTTCCAAACATAACCGACATATGAAGTTTAGAGACAATAATAATTGTTGGCTTTATTGATATAAAAGCATTCTGCCCATATTTTTACAATAAGAAACGGGAAAGATAAAAATGATAAAATAATTTCTTACAACAACTTAAAGTAATAGAATTATAACAGGTGCTAAAAATACAAAAGAAGAGTTACTTTGGATTCGGGGAGGAGAGAGTTTTCGTCGAAGATAAAGAAATCGAATAATGGGCATTGACTTGGTAGAGATGAAATGAACACAAAGATGGCTAGTGGTCACCTTTTTGCGTATAAAATAATAGTCAAGTTCGATATATTTTGTTCGATCATAAAAAATGAAGAAAAATATATTGTGCTAATATTGTCATAGAAGAAAAAATTGGTGGATTTGAGGGTGAAATGCCAAGCTCAGGTAATAAATCTTGAAGCTATATTCGTTTAGAAGTGCCATTTGCTTGTGTCTTATACTCACTTTTGGTAGAGGATTTATTAACAAGGGGTTGCTTTTTTAAGAACCAAGTGATAAGGTTATGCTCCATGTCGACAGCATAACCATTGGCGGAGCAACGATCATCTTGACAACCACCTCAGTCCTTATAAATGAAATATTGAAGCTGATATGAGGAATTTGAAGTGAAGAATAAGTCATAGGTTATAGAGTCGGCAAGATACTTGAATAGTCTCTTTACTGCTTTCTAGTGTTCATTAGTGAAAAAGTGCATGAATTGACAAAGGTTGTTAACTGTGAAAGATATGTCAGGTCGCATCATAGTTGTATATTGGAGTACACCATCATCAATCTCCTTACATGTGTAGTTAATAAAAGTTCAATTTCTACCTTGAAGCTTATAGACTCTACATATATTTTAATAATGTTTTCTTCTTTTATTTGTTACGAGCAAAAACATCATGTAACTTAAGTTTAAATGTGTTGGACAACTGATAGAAACAAATGTTAGAGATAATTATTTGCTCAATCTATATTACACTTAAATAATAAGACGAAGTTGGATGATGTGAGTTTAGACAACAAAGAAAATTCTTGTGAGAAAATTCAAATTCGCGAGCCAAAACAAAGACAAAGATATTCAAGATGGGCTTGGGGAGTGAGGAAATCATATCCAAGTGCCTTCGGGACCAACCACAAGAAGTCGAGCCAAGAAATTTCAAACTGCATTCGATTTGCCGGCCCAAGAATGGGTGAAAGATGAGCTAACATGGGAGGCCCAATAACAGGACCAAGATGGGCCGTTGGAGAATAGAGGACAGCACGTGTTGCGCACGTGAATGTGCTTATCCACATGTGCGAGCAGCCACTTGTGCGAGAAGGAGGTCTCACATGTGGAGCACTTTCCCGCGTGAAGGAAGCATGCGTGGCGTGCAGGTAAGTGTTTCCTCCAGCACACTGGACAACGCGTTTGTGTGGAGCAGCAAGCCACACACGCACAAGGAAGTTGTGCAAGTGAGGGCCATAGCGCGCGCGCGTAGGGGTAGATCGCTCGCACACAGTGCGCAAGAGAAAATCATGCACGCACCCACATGCACACGGAGCTGAATGCACACGCCTGCAGTGCTGCACACATATGGAACAACTTTCCAGTGTGCATGAGGCATACGAGCTAGATGGTTGATTTACTGAGGGACTCTTCTCCCTTTTTTTTCATTTTTTCCACATCTTTTTTATGCTGAATTTTCAAAGAACTCTCCTCCAAATTGAAGTCTACATGAAGAATTATATACATAGAAATTATGCTAAAAGGGTAGGAATTTATCTATTTAATATTTTATTAATTTTTAGACATTATTTTAATGTAGAATTTTATCTTTAATAATATTTTATTATTATTTTAGAATAAGATTTAGATAAAGTCTAGATATTGGATAGAATTCAAGTATTTGTAGTTATTTAGGATTATTCCGGTGAAAGCTTACATAAAGACCTATCTTAGGCTATAATTGACAAACAATTTCAGAGTCATAATAAAATTTCAGTTTTTAATGTTCAATTAGCTTTTATTAATTTGAATGTTCTTCAAGGAAAGTTGTTTCAACTAGTTTTTTGAGTAAGGGAATCTTGAATCGACTTATTGGATAAGGCATGACAGCTTTGTAATTGTTGTTTTTATTTTTTAGTTAGCTGGATAAGCTTTCAATACATTAATTGTGATTCTAGGGAGGATTTGGTTAAGTAATTGAGTTTCTGCATGCTAAGTATAATGAGTTTAAGATCAAATGTATTTTTGATCCTTGAGCTCCCCACATCATTAGACTTCCTTAATTTTTTTTTTAAAGAAGTTTAGTCCCACGATTTAATTTGGCCTATTTAAATATTTTAAAACTTTATTGAAACCAATTTTTCATAATAAAAATAGAAAAGAGAATTGAACAAAATTAGACTATAACACAAATAATGCATCTAAAGTGGATATTATTAAAAAACGTTTTCTCTTTTTGCTAGTGTCTCAATACTAACATGAATTGGTATTGTTCTGTTCTCCTAAATATGCAACTCCTCATGGTTCATATAAGAATTAAAGGGAAAGGTTTTAAATATTTTAAACGTTTATCGAATGCGTACATTTAAAAATTGGTTGAAGTTAAAACAATTTTTAAAATTTTATCTATTAGCTTATGGTGGATTTGGGCGATAATCTTCCCTTAATTGTCAAAAGTGACTAAATAAGTTGCGCTTTCGGGAGTATTTTCTTTAAATAATATTAATAGATAACATTCGATTATTAAGTAAATAATTCACAATTTTTCGGACGAATTCTTTGCATCAAGTCT